CACCCTGACTGTGAAGTAGTGCCTCCTGATGTCTAGCCTAAATCTAGTCTCAGTCAACTTATGGCCGTTATTCCTTGTTACTCCCGGTAGTGCTTGGGGGAACAGGGACTTTCCCATTGCCTGCTGGTCTCCCTTGGCCAGTTTATAGATAGCCACCAGATCCCCTCTCAGCCTTCTCTTGTGGAGGCTGAACAGGTTCAGATCCTGTAGCCTCTCCTCGTAGGGCCTGCCCTGCTGACCCCTGATCATGCGAGTGGCCCTCCTCTGGACCCTCTTGATGTTATCCACATCCCTCCTGAAGTGCAACGCCCAGAACTGGACGCAGTAATCCAACTGCGGCCTGACCAGTGTCGCACAGAGGGAGAGGATCACCTCCTTGGACCTGTTCGTGATGCATCTGTGGGTGCATGACAAGGTGCGATTAGCCTTCCTGACTGCATCCCCCACATTGGCGACCCATGTTCATCTTGGAGTCTATAATGACTCCAAGATCCTTTTCTGCCTCTGTGCTGACAAGAAGGGAGTTCCCCAGCCTGTAGGTATGCTGCTGGTTCTTCCTCCCTAGGTGCAGTACCCTGCACTCGTCCGTATTGAATCCCATCTTATTCTTATCTGCCCACCCCTGTAACCTGTCCAGATCCAATTGCAGCCTGTCCCTCCCCTCTAGCATGCCCACTTCTCCCCACATCTTAGTGTCATCCATGAATTTGAACAAGGTGCTTTTCACCCCCTTGTCCAAGTTGCTGATGAAGATGTTGAACAGTGCGGGCCAGAGGACCGAGCTCTGGGGGACCCCACTGTCCACATCCCTCCAGGTCGAAAATGACCCGTCCACCACCACTCTCTGGGTGCGGCCCTCCAGCCAATTGGCAACCAATCTGACTGTGCAGGCATCGACACCATGATCTCCTAATTTTTTAATGAGAATGGGGTGAGATACAGTGTCAAAGGCCTTCCTAAAGTCCAGAAAGACTACGTCACTGTGACACCTGCATCCAAGGATTTTGTGATGTGGTCATAGAAGGCCACCAGGTTGGTCTGACAGGACCTGCCTCTAATGAACCCATGTTGGTTGCCCCTAAGCATACACTCCCCTGCTTGCCCCTAGCAGATGTGCACCTGGATAATTTTCTCAAAGAGCTTCCCCAGGACCGAGGTAAGACTAACAGGCCTATAATTTCCTGCGTCCTCCTTCCTCCCTTTTTTGAAAATGGGGACCACATTGGCCCTTTTTCAGTCCTCTGGCATCACACCAGAGCACCATGAGTGCTTGTAAAGCTGTGCCACAGGTCCCGTAATGACCTCTGCTAATTCCCTCAGCACTCTGGGGTGGAGATCATCGGGGTTTCTGATTTGAACATGTCCAATCCCTCCAGAAGTTCCCTGACTAGGTCCTCACTGACCCTGAGCCTGGCTGCGCCTCCCCTGGGACCATTGGGGATCCTGGTGGGGAGGGATGACCAGGTCCCTGCTCACCTCCAGAATGTAATATATCTCATCCAATGCACCAAATGCCCTGATGAAAAATACGTAGGAGAGACCAAACAACAACTGCACACCAGAATGAATGCACACCAGAAATCTATCAAAGACAAGAACACCCAATTACCAGTGAAGGGCACATTTCTCACAAGACAAACCACTCTCTCTCCAATCTCTCGGTTCTAATCCTCAAAGGAAACTTACAAAACACATCTCAGAGATGAGCTTATGAACTTCACTTCATCAACCTCCTGGATACAAAAAATCATGGACTAAATATAGACATTGGATTTATGACACATTATAACCTGCCTGACATTTGACTCCCCAGGTACCTCTCCACTATTAACCTCTCCAGGTTAATTACCTGGTCAGAGAAGGACACCAGGTTTGTTAGGTGTGACCTACCCTTGACAAAGCTGTGCTGGCTGCTTCTTAATACCCCACCAATTACGAGCTTGTGGTTGATGGCCTCCTTGATAATTTTTTCAAAGAATTTTCCCAGGGCCGAAGTCAGACTGACTGGTCTAGTTTGCAGGGTCGTCCCTCTTGCTGTTCTTAAAGATGGGTGGGTACCATGTTAGAGCTCTTCCAGTCGTTCAGGACTACTCCCTGAGTTCCACAACTCTTCAGACAGCTTTGCCACAGGCCCTGCTATGAGTTCAGCTAGTTCTTTCAGGACTCTCAAATGCAGGTCATCTGGTCCAGCAGACTTGAAAACGTGCAAATGTTCTAAGAGTACCCTCACCTGTTCAGGACTGATTTCATGTGGACTGTTGTCTTCCCCATATTCCCTGGGCTTCTGGACAGGTGAACAGTTCCCATCTGATTTCAGGAATACCAATGTGAAGTACGTAGGAGCTCTGCCTTTTCACAGGGATCAACTGTGGGCTGCCACCCTGTATTCAGTAGGGGAACTCACAGTGGAGCTTGTGCATTGTGGGACCCCTACCCCACAGCAGAGGTCCCGCAGTGGAGCTTCCTAGTAACAAGTCATCATTTGCATTTTTTTAAAATTAAACCCATAGCTAGACCTTTTTAGGAAAGAGATCAGAAGAACTTTAGCTTAAAGGATGTATTATTTGCACAGTATGCAAAGTATATTCAGGGAAACATTAGCGACTAAGGCATCAGAGGGAATCAGGAATAAGAAACAGCCCTAAGGAAGAAAAGCTCAAGTTTCATTTTTTCTCTTTAATGCCTCTTAGGGCGGAGTTACATGTTACACTTAGACCATGCTATGGATACTTAAAACGCAAGTGTCCACATGTTAAAGCTTCTTACCTTGTGCTAAGTGCCTTCTAAGTGTCTCAAAATTATGCCACTTCTAAAAAAGGTTAACTCGTAGCTCATGTTAGGAGAACTTCAGTCTGCTCCACAGGGATAAAACAAGCAATCTGCAGTCCTCTAGCATCTCAGCTCCCAAACAACCCAGAGAATGGATAGAATCCAGGTGTCCTGGCTCCTAGCCACACCCCTGTTCACCAGCCCTTTAGTAACAAGTCAGAGTTGTGCAGCCAAGAAATGGTATTAACTCTTAATGTACTGCTACTCACAGCATTGTCTAACTCTAACACCACCTAACATTCCGTAATTTAGTCTGGTTTAAGTGTTAACATGCAACTCCACCCTTAGGAACATAGGACTGGAAGAACCTCCTGGGCCATCAAGTCCACAGTCCCTACCATTTGCTGGCAATCATTTACCCAAGGAATCTAAAATCAGCACTTCAAACTCTCACAGACAAATACAAGGAACAGTACTGAAAACACCATGAACATTGTAGTATAATACCATAGACAAAAGCAGGGGAGATGAGGGAAATGCCAATGCAATGCCTCTGAATGATAAGGGAGTCATTGATTAATACAGTCTCAGAAGATCCTAGGAAAAAAGAGCTATGCCTCAAATTAGAGGAAAGCAAAATCTTCACAGTTCATTCCAGTCTGAGCTAGATGAAAAATTCCATCCTAATGCAACTTTGGCAATTAGTATGATCTTGAGCAGAAAAGGAAGACCTTCTAGCCAGAACTTCTGTGTTTCCTAAGTAGAAGCAGAAGCATCAACACACCACAGTTAACACACAACCCCTCCACCTCCCCCCACCCCCCCGCTTTAGCTATGACCGACATCCCAATATTTCAGAAGGCAAAATAAAACACTGGCAGGCAAATTTCTTTGGGTAGATGTGATATCTTTTATTAGACCAACTAAATAATTGGAAAAAGTTCTTCACAAGCTTTCGGGCGCACATACCCCTCTTCAGGCATTCAGGGTGTGTGCGCCCGTAAGCTTGCAAAGAACTTTTTTCAAACTATTTAGCTGGTCTAATAAAAGATATCACATCTACCCAAAGCACCTTGCCTGCCTATATCCTTAGACCAACATGGGTACAATCAACAGCCCTGCAAATAAAATACTGTACACCAGCACGATTTACAAACAGAAAAAAAGTCTTCTTGGTCCCTACTGGTAACCAACAAAAGCAATGAAGCATAAGGCAGCTATTCTACAAGACAATTATTTCTATACCCGAACCTGGGGATTGCAAATATGTAATTCCAAATATCACACACACAGACTATTGAGCCAGAAATCCCTGTCCTTTCATACCCTTCCTTCTATAAAGATATTCAATTCAGCCTTAAGGTGAATCAAGTTCTCTGTCCCCACCACCTTGCCTGGAAGAACAAAGCTTTGAAACTGAAGAAAAGGGAAGGAAAAATAGGGCTTCCCATTTCATTCAGAGCACTCAATTTTCTTTCAGAAAAATGAAGGAAGCAGTTTGTCTGCAGTTTAGTTAGACCCTGGATATAGCACAGAGCAGGCTTTCACAGTGAAAATGTCAAGAGAAGGTACCTAGCTACTAATGCCATTTAAGCACAGTGTATTCAGAGTGAAACACTTATCTTTTATATAATGTAAACTCCATTACTCTTTACTCATGGGAAGGAAGCACCAAGTCATTTGCTCTGGATACTGTGACCTGTGAGAGCCATACAAGTAAGGATTTTACTGAATAAAAAAAAAATCTACAAACTGTTAAGGAGAAAGGTTAGAGAATGTACCCTGCGAGGACTACTGAAAATTTTTTCAGCAGAGTGGATTCTTTGTGTGTCTATTACACATCAAATAACTTTGCATGTCTATTGATAAAATCAAGTACCCTCATATTTTAAAAACTACTACATTTTTACCCTCAATCCCATCACTCGTGTAAGTATAGGGCAATAGGGCATCCCCATGGCATCCTTGCGGTGGCTGAAACAGCCTGAGAGAGAAATCTGAAACTCTGTCTATCTCAGGTTGGACATAGGCTGTTAGACTTGGCTTACAATGTATGGATTCATTTGTAGTAAATCATAATCAATACCCTTCATTTACAAATTTACAACATTTTGTCTTCCATAAATAATAACTTATGAATTACTTTTTAATCAAAAGTTACTGAGCTATAAATAAAACAGTTGGCACCTTTCTGTGACATCAGCCTTTTTTGAGACTTTCATTCACTTTACCTAATTGAGACGATAAGGGACAGCACTTCCAACAGGATGGCAATGATGAATACAACAACTGCTGCAGGTGGGAGAGGGGAACTGGCCATCCCATGTTTCAGGAAGCAAGTGATAGAGAGTATAAGGAAGACTGTTGTGGAGAGGAACACATCCAGGAGTGAACTGAAGGTAGCACTGGCAAATGTCTTCACAGGTGCATTCCTTATAACCTATTTGGAATACAAGGGTGGGGGAGAGAATATGAACAAGTCTTTTTGTGCTTAATTCTTTTGTATTATAGATCAACAGATCATTTGAAAACAAATGGGAGGAGGAGGAAATACAGCAATTTCATTCCTTATCAATTCAAAACAAGCACTTTATGTTCATAGTGAAAGAAACTGGGGCCCTCAGTTCAGTTTCTAGGGGATGAGTCATGTAACAAAAGACATCATCAAATTTACACCCTTGTCTGCAGAAATATTTTTAAAGAGCACCAAAATGTTTCTAGTGTGGTAATAATATAGAAAGCCTGCATAAAAAACCATGTAAAGTTTATATAAAAATTTTTAGAACTAAAAAACGACGACTTAGAGATGTGAACTTCCCCATCTTCCTTTAATCATCTGTAAAGCTATAAATTAAAACCCAGGTGAAATGAACAGAATGTATAGTTCTATTTTCTTTTGAAGCTTCACTATTTTCAAAGTCAGCTTAGATTCTGAAGCAAATGAATCAGGCTTAAAAAAAGTAGCTTGTTTTCAAAGCTGCCGTGAGATGACAATTTGATTCCGCAAAGGAATTCCTTTTGATTTACAGAAATACTATACCAATTATAGCCAGCAGAACTGACAAATGAACTTGTTTATCATATGCTGCTCATTCTATGCTCTTAACAGCCTAATGCATTCAGCTGTCTGGCACCATTTCTGTAGTAGTGGTCTGTTGTACAATATCTTGTAATCCAAACAGATCTATTATAACAAGATCCTTCAGGCCATACACAAAGCTGTATGCAGTTAAAACAAGAAAAAAAGCAAAAGTCTTGGAAAATATATAAAGGTTAGTATTATTTTTAAAATATATTGTCGACATGTTAAAATAAATGATTGCACCATAGCAAATATCTTACCATTAGTAACAGGAAAGGAACAAAGTTGTTGACAGTGCACAAATGTGCAATAGGGTGCTGCTCTCACAAACATGAGGCTTGTACTTTTATATCAATTTATCATGTAATAGTGGTGCAAATACTCAAATATTTATTCTAACTGTAAATGATTAAGATTCCAGGTCTGGGGTTGAAAGTTTATCCCCCTTTTAAATTTTGTTCAAAAGTTGAATAAATCCAATAATACTTTATTTAGATTTGATGCATGGGTTTTATTCAAATTATGTTGTGACTTGATCATTTTATTGTAGTTTATTTTTTCCTTTGTGTAAAATGTGTGCCAGTCTGGAAAATACAATATTTAAAGTTAGTGGTACAAAATCAACCTTTTTTCTCAGTTTGAGGACAATCTAAACAAAACCCACTGAGCAATCCTAAATAAAGGATTTTCAGATTTATTCAACACTTGAACAACATTTCAATTGCCAGAAACAATGCTACTTACAAGTTATACAAACATAAAGCATAAACCAGAGTTCAAAATTAGTAATGAATTCTCATGGGATCAAACCTGATGATGTCATCTAATTACTAACCACATTCTGACAACAGGTTTTAGAAATGTTTTGCTGGTTTAAAATTTCCCTTTTCACTGGGGAGTTACTTACTTTTAAAAATGAAAACAGAAAACAGAGCAAAGTTTTCTACATCATTAGCAAACAATGAGCACATATTTTAAACCAGTTTTAAATTCAGTTACTATTAGCTCTTAGTGAAAAATCATTAAAGAACAGTCTCTGATAAAAGGCAAAATTCATGAAGAAGGAAATGTAACTTGACTCCCTTTGGGATTCTTAGAATACGGACATATGAACAGCTTACCAATGGGCAAAAAGGGAGGAAGTTTTACTGCATGTCAGCTGCACTGTGCTAACTATCATACACTTATCCTGCAATAAGTGGAAGCTGAATTGCCACTAGCATAATGATAGGTGGTTGAGTCCCAGACACTAAGGAGGCAATAATAGAATGGAGCTAGGAATGCCTCACTCTCCCATTTCTATAGCCCTCCGCATGCACCTTCTCTGCAGCAGCTCTGGCTCCAGCAATGGGGAGGGCAGGGCAGCAGTGGTGAACAGGGCAAGAGCAGCAGCTGGAGGTCCACTGCTGCGGGGGGCCAGCTCTGCGGGGGGGGGGGGGGGGGCGGCGGGGATGTAACTTATTTTTCCATCACTGAAAACTGGTCTTTAAATGGCCACTTAACACCAAAACAACGAGGTGCTTTCTCACCCTGCAGCAGTGAACCTCCAGCTGTTGCTGCTGTACTGTATGCTGCCGCTGCCCACAGTGAAGTACTAGCCGGTTAATCCTGCGAAGTGCAAAAGCTTAGCCCAGCGCTTCTACCTACTGTGCAATGAGAGTATATGTAAGAGTAGTTACTGTGAGGCAAATACAAAGATGTGGCTTTTCTGGAAAATTTTCCAATGCCCTAAATAGAGCATGAACTGATTTAGCATGTTTATTTGACTTGTATCTAGTAAACAAAACTAAAAAAGTACCCCATGTTAATGTTATGTCCCAATAGCCACACATATTTGAACTGAAATATTTTATTAGGAAAAAAATTAAATACAGCACACTTAATGGGGTTTAAATGTTATATTCAAACAAATTCAAAGCTTTATGTTGAAAGCAATTATTTTTATTGGAATACTTGTAAAAATGTAAAGACAATACACAAAAGCACGTACTTCCTTTACATTGTTTAAATTTAAGAAAAAAAATGAAGGAACTGAAAACTGTTGACACACTAATTTTAGCACACCCAAAGAATTGTGCATGATATGCTGTGCTTTGGTTTTGATTTGACCTGCACAGTCAATTTGTGAATTCATAACTTGATTTTTGGTATGAATTATTATGTGAGTGTATTTACTCTCCTGTGTACAAATCAATAAAACATATATATACACACTCTCTCACACTTCCTAGGGATGATCACCCGAAAAACATTAATTATAACTTTGAAACTGCCAAGCTTGCCCAATATTGTATTGGTATCCATTTATTGTTACTAATGAATTTTATGGAACAATACATTTTTAGAAATGGAAAATTTCCCATGGAAAAATAAAGTACTGGAAAATTTTCTGCTCCACATCTCTGAGCAGATATATGGTAAAGCTCTTTTAACCCATACTAAAATGCCCACTTAAAGAGCCAATGAAAGCTTCTGACACGACTTTTACAAAGTTTCTCTACAAGATAGATATTTACAATAGACTTTGATAATGCTGTGGTCTCCTTGCAGTTCTTACCCTAAGGGCTAAATACTATTTCATGTCTCCAAAGCTGTTTATCCACCATGACAATAATTTCACACCCCATGGCAGGATATACTCAGTCCTGAACAGGGAACCACTTTTCTGAATTTAAAAAAAAGTCAAGCCCTTAAAAGTGTTATGTTTCCAAACTGCAAGGGATATCACTGCAAAGGAAAGACTCGCATCTTACAGCAGGGGATATAACTCTTGCATATGCTTGTTCATATAACTCTTGTCAAGAGGTATAAGATCTCAGATTCATGACTTATAAACAGATAAACTACTCTAGGTCATTTTTTATTTTTGTATGGCTTACTTATAGCCATACAATTGGAACACATTGAGGCATCTGGGTTTACAGGTCAAAGAATTAAAAAACTCAAAATAAAATAAAATTCAAACCTTTATAAAATACTTTTTCTGTAATGTTTGTAGCATATAAAAGCATGAAAGTATGAAGCTGGTTTAGGTTTTCTTCTGATTCTTTGATATAAGCATATTTGTTGCTTTGACATTTACAAATAACATACCTATTTTAATATCCAAATAGATAAAATCTTACTACCATAATACACGATTTCTCTAGGTTTTATGAATGCCTACATGAATTTAGCAATCTGAGCATTTTTGAAAATTATTTTTTGAATATAAAGATGTAGTTCTTGTTCTTTCTTTTACTTCTAGTTGGAAAGAGCTAGAGTTACTGTACTGTAAATAGTGTATGCAAATATTATTACTTACATCCATACGCACATTGTTTTTAATTTCAAGGACTCTAATGGTTTATAAACAGCAGCAAATATTTGCTAACAGCTTTGTTCCATGTAACAGCTTTAATTTTTTTCTTGTTTCTTGTGTTTATTGTAACATAAGGGTTATTCATAACAATGACCACAAAAGTAAGTAAAACAAGATATAAATTAATTAAAAAGGATACCAGCATGTAGACAGATATGTATGCTGTAAGATTCTCCTGACCTTCCCCTTTTTGGCTTAGTACAGACAGTCAAAAAGCCTAAGGCTGAATCAATTCAATCTTTGCAGGTTAGTTTAAGCTGCATAAATTGAACTGATACGCAAGTGAACAGACATTAATTTTTGATTCCAGTAATGCAGCCACAGGCCTGCAGTAGCCTAGGCCTGAAGCTGGGGAGTGCTACAGCATGCCTCCCTGCTCAGCTGAAGCAGGCAGCTTAGGCTAAGGCTAGCCCAACCCCACTATGAGGGGCAGTTTGCAAGGGAGGTACAAAGCATCCTGGGGTGCTGGGGGACTGTGAGTGAACTTGAATCTGGAGGGGATCTGGGACAGAAGTTTAATAAACCAATTTAACCTAAATCAGTTAAGTTTGATACTACGTCCATCCAGGTTTATTTTAAACTGGGTTCAGCCACTTTGAAAGTGGTTTACTTGTACTGAACTTCTGTTGTATTACAGATTTGAACCAGTTTCTGACTGGTTTGTATGTAATTTCTGTGCTGAGGCTTTGAGATTAATAAAGCACTCTCTTGGCCTACAGACATATCTATCTGAAGTACAAAAGCACAAAAATGAGAGGCTATCACTACACTGCAATTCACTGTAATGAGATCTGCAGTTGTAATAGGCAGGTGGTATTGGACCCCATATTCTGACAGGATATGTTCTTGTGAGAAGAATGAGAATGATGACTGAAATCACTATTTGTGGTCTTTCTCATTCTTTGACGAAATAAGAGGAAAACATGGACATTTTTCCATTAGTAGTGGGCTAATGAAGAAAAAACAATTTGGCTCCCCTCTAGCAATGACTTACAGCTTGTCCTATACTATCTAGGTGTGTCTGCATTACTTGCACAAAGAATACAAGGCCAATATCAAATTGAATTCCCTGCTTTTAATTTTTTACTTTTCTATTTCTACCACTTCATTTTTGTACCACCATATACAATGTTTGATTTTAATCTTGTTTAAATTGGTAGAATGTGTAAAACTCATTGTGTGCTTTTACATATGATGGCAAATTATATAATATAATAAACTGATTTTATTGTTAATTTTATTGTTTTGTTTTAGCAAAAGCTGTAAATAAACTACTACACTACACTATAATAAGAGCTGCAATATTAGCATTGTTACAAAATGCAGTAAATGACAAAGTTCTCATCAATGCACATGTATACGCATCAGAAAATAAGCTACCAATGTCTCAGTCTTGAAGACAACTAAAGTTTTCTGCACTTTTACATGTCACGATATAGCATTTTTGTTTAATTAATTTCCAAACAGAGCTCAGTGTAAGTTTAGGTGAGACAGAAATAAGCTAAGGGCCACAAATAAAGAACAAATTTTGCAAGTTTTAATTTTCAAAAGTTAATGAAAGTTAACTTTTGAATTTATTTTCAAAGTTATTATATAAATTAATTAAAAAGGATACCAGCATGTAGACAGATATGTATGCTGTAAGATTCTCCTGACCTTCCCCTTTTTGGCTTAGTACAGACAGTCAAAAAGCCTAAGGCTGAATCAATTCAATCTTTGCAGGTTAGTTTAAGCTGCATAAATTGAACTGATACGCAAGTGAACAGACATTAATTTTTGATTCCAGTAATGCAGCCACAGGCCTGCAGTAGCCTAGGCCTGAAGCTGGGGAGTGCTACAGCATGCCTCCCTGCTCAGCTGAAGCAGGCAGCTTAGGCTAAGGCTAGCCCAACCCCACTATGAGGGGCAGTTTGCAAGGGAGGTACAAAGCATCCTGGGGTGCTGGGGGACTGTGAGTGAACTTGAATCTGGAGGGGATCTGGGACAGAAGTTTAATAAACCAATTTAACCTAAATCAGTTAAGTTTGATACTACGTCCATCCAGGTTTATTTTAAACTGGGTTCAGCCACTTTGAAAGTGGTTTACTTGTACTGAACTTCTGTTGTATTACAGATTTGAACCAGTTTCTGACTGGTTTGTATGTAATTTCTGTGCTGAGGCTTTGAGATTAATAAAGCACTCTCTTGGCCTACAGACATATCTATCTGAAGTACAAAAGCACAAAAATGAGAGGCTATCACTACACTGCAATTCACTGTAATGAGATCTGCAGTTGTAATAGGCAGGTGGTATTGGACCCCATATTCTGACAGGATATGTTCTTGTGAGAAGAATGAGAATGATGACTGAAATCACTATTTGTGGTCTTTCTCATTCTTTGACGAAATAAGAGGAAAACATGGACATTTTTCCATTAGTAGTGGGCTAATGAAGAAAAAACAATTTGGCTCCCCTCTAGCAATGACTTACAGCTTGTCCTATACTATCTAGGTGTGTCTGCATTACTTGCACAAAGAATACAAGGCCAATATCAAATTGAATTCCCTGCTTTTAATTTTTTACTTTTCTATTTCTACCACTTCATTTTTGTACCACCATATACAATGTTTGATTTTAATCTTGTTTAAATTGGTAGAATGTGTAAAACTCATTGTGTGCTTTTACATATGATGGCAAATTATATAATATAATAAACTGATTTTATTGTTAATTTTATTGTTTTGTTTTAGCAAAAGCTGTAAATAAACTACTACACTACACTATAATAAGAGCTGCAATATTAGCATTGTTACAAAATGCAGTAAATGACAAAGTTCTCATCAATGCACATGTATACGCATCAGAAAATAAGCTACCAATGTCTCAGTCTTGAAGACAACTAAAGTTTTCTGCACTTTTACATGTCACGATATAGCATTTTTGTTTAATTAATTTCCAAACAGAGCTCAGTGTAAGTTTAGGTGAGACAGAAATAAGCTAAGGGCCACAAATAAAGAACAAATTTTGCAAGTTTTCATTTTCAAAAGTTAATGAAAGTTAACTTTTAAATTTATGTTCAAAGTTCAAAGGAAGGGCACAGACTGGGGCCAGGGGCCCAGAGCAAGAGATACAGGGGCTGGAGGTCCCAGATACTTATGACTAACAGAGCTGAGGCAGAGAGCTTTGGACCCAAATCAGTGGGCCAGGGCTGGAAGCTTGCAGCCAGAGAAAAGGGGCGGAGGCTGAAAAGACCGAGGCCCCAACAAGGGAGTGACTGTGCAGTGACACCTGCAAGGCATGGGCACTGCTGTAGGGGAGGTCAGAGGGCATGAATAACTCTTAAGGCTAACAAGGCTAAAGTAACAGAGGTTAAATTAACAGAGACCCTGAGGCTCTCTGTTACAATATCATACTCTATTTTACATTTAGAATTAAAGCTTTAACCAGCTCAGAGTTGGAAGTAAGAAGCAAATGCTACTTACTAGCTATTCAAATAACTTTGAAAATAAATTCAAAAGTTAACTTTCATTAACTTTTGAAAATTAAAACTTGCAAAATTTGTTCTTTATTTGTGGTCCCTAGCTTATTTCTGTCTAAGTGACAGTGTAGTGACACCTCCGATGCACGGACACTGCTGTAGGGGAGGTTGGAGACCATGAATAACCTTTACGGCTACAAGTACCCTGAGGGGACCAGGTGGACCAAGCATGAAGTAGGACTGAGACCCAAGGGGTCCAGGTGGGACTGGCTGGCTGTCAGAAGAAATTAGGGCTCACTGTAGGACCCTTAGCCAGCCTCCCTTTCTAGCAATCCATAGTTACATACAGAGCTGGCGGGCAAAATGAAAGGAGGCTATCCTAGAGTCGGAGCAGGGCAAGGCTTGTGTGGCCACCAGGGGCCGTCACGGCCACCCCTGAAGCACAACTTGCTACAGGTATAAATTTAACAGCTGAAATTTTACCAGATAAATACAGAATGTCAATCTTCAAGGCTTAAAATTAGATTGCTGATCAAGCTAGGTGAACTAAAATAAGATGGTAGTTTCTTAGAAAGACACCAGCATTAAGAAACAGCTCATACCTGAAACCCCAGCATTCTAGTTGATAATTGTAATGGCTTTGCAAAATGAGTGTACCGTATTTGCCTAAATACAAGATGACTTTGAATTTAAGACAACTCCCACATAATTAGATTTTATACATGGAAAGTGTAACAATTTTTTACAATTTTCATGTATATAATCTAATTATTGGATTAGATTAGATTTTGGCTTAAATTACGACACTGCTGTAGTGAGGAAAGTGGCAGCACAGGGGGAGACAGCTTTGGGGGGCAAGTGGCCCTCACCACTTGTCTCCCCCTCCCCCAGGCTCTACCCTGGCTCTACCCTGCCGCCTATCCTGTTGCTGCTTACAGCCAGGTACAGCTCTGGCTCCATTCCCTCCTGGGCACAGAGCATGTGCAAACTCTGGCACCTGCCCAGCCACACAGTAGCAGCAGCTCCAGCCCCAGGACACTGCTGCAAGGCTGGGCACAAGTTGGAGCTTGCAAGCGCTCCATAACTGGGATAGAGACAGTTACAGAGCCAGAACCAGAGCCAGAGCCATGCTTAACAGTGAGCAGTGGGGAGGGGTGGAAGACGGGGCAGAGGCTGCAAGGGGGTAGGTGAAGAGGAGGGACAGATGGCTGCTGCCGATTAATGGGGGAAGAAACCTTGTCTTGGATTGGAGTAAATATGGTATTCGGCTCCTACAGACTATATGGAAAGAGTACTAAAAGGCAAATCAATTCAGGGAAAAACCCACCTCTTCCTGATAGCTGGTTCTGTAGGCCATCTCCAAATCCCGATCCAGAAAGTTCAGGCTCAGCTGGTTAATAGGTGGTTTGAAGAAATAGTCTTTCATCAGGCTAAAGAGAAAAGAGAGATTACATGAAGATTTTAAAAGGAAAGGAGTTTAACTAAGCTGGAATCCTTCTTTCAAGTTACCATTTCACAGGATTCTCACTCTTTGGTTTCTCCTTCCAGTGTCATATTGGAACTTTTAATAATTTCAGCCTATGAGGAATTTACCACACACCAGAAGCTCCAGTACCTACAGTGTGTATTTTTGAGTTGGAAGTCAAAATTCCCTGTGACAACACCCTTTTTGGTGTCTGTCACTTAAAGGGCTGGAGCAGGGAGCTCCCAGGTGGCTGTTAAGGGTGGCATTTTAGGGCCCAGCTCAGAGAATAGAGACAGTTTGAGATCAGACAGCAGGGAAGAAACATCGCCCTGCTGAGCTCCGGCTCCATGAACAACTTGGGAGGTACGGGCAGGAGCTAGGGGGGATGGTTTGGAGGCTCCTGGTCTTAAGCATGACCTAAAACTGCACCCTCCTGGGATAGGAAGGTCTGGTGGACCTGCCTGTGGCAGGGCAGGACCACTCAAATGCCAGGACAGAGAATCTACCCGGTGTAAGGCGGGTTGGGACACCTAAGCCCCTACCCCTACCTTTGGGTGGTTTACTAAGAGAATGGGGGGTGGAGATAAGGTTAGGAGAAGCGCCGAGTCCCATGGGGTTTTGGGAACCTGTCGGGGTGGAAGACTCCAGGCCCCAGTGTAAGGGGCAGAGTTGTGTCCTGAGAGATGGGCGTGGTGGTCTGGGGCTATGGGCGAAGTAGGCCCATAGTTGAGCAATTGCTCGGTCCTGTTTGGGTGAGGGTCACAGGAGAAGCCCAAAAGACCATGCCAGAGCTGATTGAGGGGTGGAGAGCAAAGCCCGAGGATCTCTTTGTGTAGGGAGGAGTGAATGTGGCCTGGATAGGCAGTATGCAAGAGACCAGTTGAGAGCTGGTGGAATGCAAGAGGCTCCGGTGAGAGAGGGGGTAGTGTGTGTGTGGCCTCAAAGAGGGCAGTATGCTAAAGATCCAACTGTGTGCCCAGTTTGGCCTGGCCTTGAGTCGGAGTATCATGACACAGAGTGACATGTGCGAGGCATGAGACACACAAAGGGATGGTAGGAGAATGCATATACTGCCTAAAAGATATCAAATTCACCCAAGGAACCTTGTCTGCCTATGTCCTTAGACCAACACGGCTACAACCTACACCCCTATACTGCCCATGGACATTTGGCACACAAAGGGCAGCCTCCCACCTATTTAACATCCTAATCATTTACCAACAAGGCATTGCAGGTGAACAAGGTGGGTGGTTTGCCCCAGAGACAGGGGTGGGCCTAGAAGGTGTCCTTGTCACACTCCCCCAAATCATTTGCAATAAATGGAAACATCTCATAAAAAACAAAAAGACAAAGATCAGGCTAGATATCAGGAGGCACTACTTCACTGTCAGGGCGGCTAGGAGCTGGAACCAACTTTCAAGGGAAGTGGTGCTTACCCCTACCCTGGGGGTCTTCAAAAGAAGGCTAGGCAGCCACCTAGCTGGAGTCATATTCATTGAATAGTTAAGAATATCAGAGCCTGTGATAAATCATCAAAAGCAAGAAAATATAATTTATGCTGCTTCTGCAACTTCAATTTTTTGTCTTTATATATGTTTTAAACAAACAATGCGATACATGACTGACATTTTTTAGAGAAAATCATGAAAAATTGAAATAAAAGTTGATGGAACTTCTATTGAGCATGGCCTGGGAAAAATACAATTTTGGAAGAGGATGAATTGGAAAAGAGGATAGACATTTATAAATAATTAAAGAAATAGACTTCCTAATGCTATGTATAAAATAAAATAGATACAAGTCTTGTAAAACAGGAACTGGGAAGAAGTTAAATGGACAACAGTGACTGAAAAACTGAGAGCCAATTTTACTTCACTTTTTGCCTAAATGGTAATTTTTCAGCTGTGAGACATTTTTTGGCACTTACATGCAGTTTGCGATTGTTTTAGCCATTCATTATGGAAGTTTGTGTGTCCACACAAATCCAGAGCATATGTGGTAGGCTATGCAATGGACAGACAGGGATGCTGCTATACTATGTGCACACGTTGAGCGTGCACAAGTTACATTATATCTGGCAAAAATCTATAATTGTTGGGTGTTAGAAGAGGTGTTCCCATGTTTTTCACCACCAAGAGCTAAGTGGTTAGTTAAAGCACATGCCAGAAATGAAGAGACCCAGGCTTTGGCCCCTCCCTCACTCAGAGGAGGTTCAAAACTGCATCTCTGTGACTTCTTTCAGTGCTCTTATTACCACATCACAGGTTACATGAGTTCCAATATATTCTTTACATTCCTTTTGAAGCTGACAGATCTAGGATTTTGAAAATGGGGTGTATAGGAGCTGTAGCCAGTGCTGCAGAGGTGTCTGTAAACCCTTTGGCTCCTAGCCCACACCCCACAATGGGCAGGCACCTACAGCTGAGGGTTGAGTCCCCGAAGCAAGTAAGAATTCCCCCTGCCTCCCTTTTAGGACCCCCTCCTCTCTGGCACTCAAAGGCACCTCCTCACCCCAGAATTCCCCATCTCCAGCAAGCTTTTCTGAAGGCACAAACCCTGATAATTACACCTCTGAGTGAAGGAAAGGGGGAATGAGATTCACTCATCACCACTGCTATCCCTGGCTGACCCAGGGGCTGTGGGGTGCCAGGTTCAGTTAAAGACAGTGATGACAGTAGGTGGGTTTCCCCCTCCCTCACTGACCAGGAGCAAGTGCAGGAAGGGGGAACCCAACTGCTGCTGGTGTCCCTGGCTAAGCCTGGCACCTTACACAGTTGTTCCCCAAATCCCTGGCTGGAGCAGGGCAGCTTTGGGGAGCAGCTTTGGCATGAGCAGCTTTGGGGCTCTCTGTGCCCCGAGTCAGCCGAGGGTAGTGGTGGCAGCAGGTGGGTCCCCACTTCTGCTCAGAAGTATAATTAGCCGGGTTTGATCCTGAGAGGGGAGGTGCCACTGAGCAACAGATGGGAGGGACTGCCAAGCGCAGGAATGGTGGAATTCTTACCTGCTCAGAGGACTCAGGAGTCTCTACAGTAGTATGGCCTGAACTCAGTTACTGTTTGGACACTGCAGAAGGCCCAGGAGTCCAGAGCAGCAGGAAAATGGAGCTGTCAGCATGTGAGCCCCACAGCAGGATAGCCATGACATCACACTTCCCTCCTTTCCCCCCCAGATCTGCCCTTGGGCATTCAAAAGAGGGAGATATATGGGACCAGGAAGAAGAAAATATGCTAAGGGATACATGGCTCAGTGAACTGAATGCTCCTGTTTTACAGTATAGCCCCAGGTCCTCCACCCCTTTCCCTCAATGGGACAAAAATTTCCACCCTGTGCTCCACCAATTTTATCTTGTGACTATTAAATGCAAAGTACAGTGGCCCAGCTTCTAAAGGTGGGCTGTAGAAAACCTAGGTAATTCCTAGTCTGAAGTGTGATGTGGGGTCATAGATTCATATTCATAGATTCATAG